CTCTCGCAACTATTGCACAGAAGGGCTGTGTAGCCAAGGCAACTTTACAAATTAATTAATAGTTTTAGGTAAAAGCGAAGTTTCCCAAATAATAGACAGGGAACTTCCAGAATCGAATGATGGTAGTTCGTAGCAAAACGGTAAGATTGAACCCCCGTCAACCCAATCAATGCCCTATGACAATGTATAAAATAGCCCATCCGTGTAGGGTTGAAATTTGAGGGGAGAGCCAAGTGGGTGTGCGATAGACTTACCTCCACGTGGTGCACCCTGGAAATATGCCTTCACTATCAACATCTTATTTGGAAGCGGAGGGGTGTGTGCGATAGACTTACCTCCACGTGGTGCACCCTGGACAGCATAGACTTACCTCCACGTGGTGCACCCTGGACAAGGTATTATCATATGGCAAAAAAAGTCTATTAGCCGGCAGTTGACTTCTCACTTCAAACAACCATCACCCCCACTGTATGTCATAGTCGACCCCTACACAGTACTCATCTTACCCTTTCTGAGCCTTTGTGTCTGTTTGTTTCTTTCTTTCACATCTGTGAATCACTCTTCTATTCCTCCTCTTGAAGTCTTCCCACTTTGATGTTCCTCCTCCTCCTGTATGAAGCCCGAAGTCAACTAAAGGGCTAATGATAAGTATCAAAACGCCTGCCATTTGTTATAAATAAAAAAAATAAATAAATAATGTATAAAATTGATAATAATCGTGACGTTGAATTGATGGAATAAAGCAACTAACCACGCCATTGTCTACGTTTAACACTAAAAGTGGACCACCACAAATAAAACCGAAGTGTCAGTGATAAATGGTGAAATATTGTCAAGGCTTGAAATAATTATTTTAAATATTTAGTTATCACCGCAAAAATGTGTCAGTAGGTCTGATTTTTAAATAATTACCCAATTTGCATAGTTAAAGGACATAAATCAAGGTCGTTTTGCTCCTGCCTGGCTTTTGTGTGCCCTTAATCAACTCTGCTTGGGAACACTCAGTTATCCAACTCGTAAAACAGGTCTCATACACGTTTACTTGCCATTACCTCACGCAACCTATCATACAGTCACGTGTGTGGGTCCTTTCCCGCATCCACAATTGGTTGCTATGCCGACACGACCACATGCTTGGCCAACACACCTAGTAGTTAGCGTATTAAATCCTTGCTGGTATAAACACCGTTACGAACCCAAACATACTCGCAAAATTCGCTAACATGGGAGTACGTGTGTGTACTTCCCTATTGGCTGCAAGGTACTATCCAATTCTTTCGAGAGTACAATTTAATTCATGAATGCAATTATTTAAATGAAGCCCATAATGACTAAAATTCGGAGTTCACCAATATTTAGTTATTTCAAAAGGCAGGGGTTTCGATAGTTATCATTAGCCCTTTAGCTGACTTTGGGTTTCACAGAGAGGAGGTGGAATATCAAAGTGGGAAAATTTCGAGAGGAAGGACAGAAGAGTGATTCACACAAAGGCAGAGAAAAGGTAAGATGAGTACTGTAAATGGGTTGAATATGACATACAGTGGGGTCATGGTAGTTTGAAGTCAGAAGNGACAATGTATAAAATAGGGGTGTGCGATAGACTTACCTCCACGTGGTGCACCCTGGACAAGGTATTATCATATGGCAAAAAAAGTCTATTAGCCGGCAGTTGACTTCTCACTTCAAACAACCATCACCCCCACTGTATGTCATAGTCGACCCCTACACAGTACTCATCTTACCCTTTCTGAGCCTTTGTGTCTGTTTGTTTCTTTCTTTCACATCTGTGAATCACTCTTCTGCTCCCCCTCTCGAATTTTTCTCATTTTGATGTTCCTTCCCCTCTGTGAAGCCTGAAGTCAACTAATGTGCTAATGATAACCGTCAAAACGCCTGCCATTTGATATAAATAAATAAATTTAATGTTTGCATGATCTGTAGCAAGGCAAAAAGATGCAAATTTTTCAATGTCGTTAAGCACAATTTATTGAAAGCCGGGGCGTCAGGGGGTCGTACTCTACTTGCTCTTTCTTATTCAATTATCACAATTGTGCCGAATGAGTAGTTGGCTGTTTTATTGTGCTGTAATCAAATGGCTTTAGTTGTGCTGTCTTGTGAATCGAGACAATTTTAACACTTGACAAAATATCACGTGTGCGAATTCTAATCGGTGATATTTAGTCCTTATTTACCAGCTGATTGTTTAATCCTTTATCACCCGGCAGAACCATAGAGTCCTCTTTCAAAATAAACTCCATTGGTACACAATAGACTCGTAGTGGAATGGGCTATTGCCGTTTTAAGCTTGTGCGATATGTGTCTAGATCCTTTGTCTGATACCACCACCACCACCAAAACTCATCACGTCGGCGACATCAGTCTGCTGTGAGACACACGCATGAGCGCGGTTGTGTCCATTTTTTAATTCCTCTCCCCCGAAGGTCCTGAGAGAAGGATGATTTGATTTTTGATGCATAGAATTATTTAGCAGATTTCGTCACATGAATTGGAGCTGAAATTTTCATCCTCGTCGGTTACCGTGTGATACTTCATATGACTCGATTTGTACCTGCCTCCTTAAGGACTACAATTGTTTGCTAATGAGGATTTACGGGTGTGATTCTGGATGAGATCTTGCTACTCATTCATTTTTAACTTTGGAGTTGTTGTTACATTCTTGGACTTCACTCTAGAAATCCTAGATGCGTCCAAGTAATGCCGGTTTATTGAAGATCAGCACTAAATTATTTCTTCAATGAAACCATTTCGCGTTTACTGAATATCGATCATCGTGTGTATGGGGCGAAATCAGTGGAAACAAGCCAAACAAGCGTTCTTTGTCTCTCCCCCCTTCCCCCCCCACCCCTCCCCCAATCTTCCTCTTTGACCTTGGGGACAAGGCTTTGTTTGGCGGTCTCGTTGTCTTGTGTATTTGGACTCAGAGTTTTCACCTCGTTTGTCTTACTTTCGATGGGATGAAAAAGGAACTTTTTTTAACGGAATTTTATTGGCAGTCATAATTAAAGCTATCAATTTGGGTTGGTGTTTCGTGAAGGGGACATTATTTCTGCATGTTAACCTAAATAACGGAAAATTAATTCAAGTAAGAGACCCGAATGACTTGTCATGGATTGAGGTTTTTTTCCTGTCAATTTTTATTTATTTTGGCAACTGCAAGAAAACTCAATCATGTTCCAACTACTACCTTTGGAACAATATTTTTGTTATCTCAATTTCTTGGTACTGTTTTATTTATTTATATCAAATGGGAGGCATTTTGATAGTTTCATTAGTCCTTTGGGTGACTTCAGGCCTCGCAGAGGTGAAGAAATATCAAAGTGAAAAAAATTCGAGGGGGGGAAAGAGACAGGCAGACACAAAGGTAGAAAAAAGGTGAGGTGAGTGCTGTGAAGTAGTCGATTATGATATACAGTGGGGTGATGGCAGTTTTAGGCCAGAAGTCAACTTCCGGTTAATAGAATTTTCTTGCCGTATGAGTATACGTTGCCCAGGGTGCACCACGTTCAGGTAAGTCTATCGCACACCCCTTCTTTGTACTGTTATCTTATTGATTATTTTACGCACAATGATGTATGTTTATATGCTTTCATTGTTGGATCAACATTATTATGAAAAAGCGTCAAACATTTCTTTTTCCCATTTTAATTGGTCTATTTTAAGCAGTTAATTGTTCATAGGACTTAAAAGTAATTACTGCATAACGTATATGGTTCTAGTTAACAAGTTTGCTCTACATCAATAAGTCCTTGTGTTCGCCTTTTTTATGGGTGCGATATCAGTGCTTAGAGTGTTGGAAACGCGAAATTATCACAAAAACCTCTTCATGCACTAAAGAGGCGGTTAACGTTCCAAAATTAAAGTCTGATGACAAGGCCTACGGATTGTAGCGCAATTACCTCTTTACGTAATATCCAGTGCCTATTGTCCGGCATTCTAATCAAGAAGGTTTGGTCTTGGAACTTTAAGCCATTGAGAGTACAAGAATATTCAGCGGCATACAGTCTTAGCATGTTAGAGAGGAGCGAGGTGGAAATGCTTAGTTTCCAGAGTTCCTTATAATGTGCTCACTGGGGTGTGCATCCTAGGCAACGTATACTCATACGGCAAAAGAGTCTATAAACCGGGAGTTGATTTCTCACTTTAAACTACCATCACCCCACTGTTTGTCATATTCCACCACTTCTACAGTACTCACCCTACCCTTTCTCTGCCTTTGTGTCTGTCTGTTTCTTTTACATCTGTGAATCGCTCTTCTGTTGGCCCCCTCTCGATTTTTTCCCACTTTTACGTTCCTCCCCTCTGTGAAGCCCAAAGCCAACGAAAGGGTTAATGATAACTATCATAAAGCCTGTTATTTGATATAAATAAATAATGTGCTCAATTTATGGGTGGACAAGATTTTTACGAAAAATCTATTCCAACCGTGCGTTTAGAGCTATCGCCGATTTGCAAGCGTTATGGAGTTAGTTTATTGTGAATTGGTTAGGAAGAAGGCAGGCTTATAATAGTAGGGTCTACTCGGAAAGCCTTTGAAGGTTTGGTGTGTATAAGGGTGTGGACCGTATTACCATGGTTTTTCGGAAATTTCGCCCATCCGAATAAGCACTTGTTAGTGCCAACATGAGGGTGCTGGGTGAGGGAGGGAGGGAGGGGGGGGGGGGGGGGNGGGGGGGGTGGGCGGTTATTTGGGTTTAAAGTTAAACTTCCAGTCTTACCGCTTTTCTCTATTCGTTACTGGAGCTTGACTCTCCCCATGGGCTCTTATTCGGGTGAGCGGTTATTTGGTACCACAAAAAATGGTTTAATGAAATGTAATTTTCTGTTTAAACGCCCTGGGCGGATATGCGGAAAACCCCGCTACTACACCCGGAGTCAACATTGACATCTGTGACATCACTTACTGCTCACTCGCATGGGAGTAAAACTAAAAGGCAAAGAAATTTTATTAGGCTGCATTTTCGGACATTTGCATTAGTGAAATGTCTTACTGGTTGCTTAAAGCATTCCGTATTTCTCTTCCAAAGGTGAGACTGACTCCTCGAATAGCGTGCCATTACTACAGCACAGTGGCTCAGCAACCAATGCTTGGTTGTCTGCGCATCTTTGCGCGGTTCGAGAAGTCATGAGAAAGGTGGATGGAGGGAGGAGTTGTCTTTGTCGATGTGGCAAAAAACGTAAAAATAGCCCTTCCGACGCACTGACCGACTTTCCTTCTATTCGTGTTAAGATGGTATGCGGTGCAGATCTCTTGGAGTCATTCGCCACACCCAATCTCTGGTCTGACGAAGATGTGAGTTCTCCCCCTTTGTTTTTGAATGTAAAAATCTTGCATGCGCCCTGTCTGAAATCGGATTGAAGTGTTGTTGTATTACATATTTTGTCCATTTGATTGAGGCGGAATTGAATAAGGAGATGTGTCGTTATTGACTTCACATTCTTTGGAAATGGCTTCTCATTTATCCTGAGATAGTTGATTGGGATAAGTGGAAGTACTTAATTTCATGAAGAGTTGCCTATTTCCCTATTCACAATCCTTTGATTGCATAAATTTTATGGGACCGTGCGATTGGTTTTGCTTTCCCTAACTAAGATATACCATCTGTTTCTTCGTGTCTGCGGAACATTATCGCCAGTCATTCCACCTAGTCCTTTTTATTCCACCCCCCCCACCCCCACCCCATCAGGTCACTAATTTATAGCAAATGTGCATTAGTTCTTGTGCCTTGATAGATGTTTATGACGCGTTTTGTTATTTATAATGCCATCGCATTTCACCTCCCCTCCCTCTCGTCTAGATGACTGCGCTGGTTCGAGACTACGGAATCGTGTGCATCAGTCGCCCTGGCTCAGATGCCTCTCGCTTGCTCAATGAGATGGACATCCTCTCCCAATACGAAGTAGGTTCTCACCTTTTCTCTCTCTCTCTCTCCTTTATGCTCATTCCACTGTCAAATTCTCTATGTTTCGAAATATGGCCACGAGATTGTCCTGGCTTTTACAACCCTTTCTGGAATCTGTGAAGGGCAAAAAAGATTTTTTGGAAGATACTTGTGTGAGCCGTGCTATCGTGAGGCTATGTGATTTTATCAATCTCTTTTTAAGGCTTCATTAACCAATCCTGTAGTTTCTTTGGTCTATCCATCCATCTAGACGTGAGTGTGTTAGTAGAAATACGAGGTTTGATGAGTGATGATGCAAGTACCGTGATGTACTAGTTAAATGAAACGAGGATGAATGTTGAAACTGGCTTAACTTCTGATTAGCTAACATCATATAAATCACTTCAATTCAGCACTTATAGTAAGGGGGGGGGGAAGGCATTGTATTCTACCCAGACAACCCAATACAATCTGTTGAATGCCAAACACACAAACCTCACTTCTTATTTATGTGAGAATGAAATAGAATACACTTTAAAGGAATGAGTATGTTTATCATAGAGCTATGACATGACATGGCGTACTTGTTTTCATTGGATCTTGTTCAGTCCCTCCTTGGGATTGAAGAGAACAATGGTGTTTGTATAAACTTGAAATGTGCAAGGTTGACAATTGGAACAATTCGTAGTTTTAAGAAGCGTGTAAATATATATCCTTTTACCGTTCAATTTCGATATCAATTAGTAGTTAACTCATCTTGGCTTTAATTCACCTTGATTGAACTCTTAATTTCTGCTTTGCCAAAATCCAACTACTCGTAAAGGATGCCATTCTCTCTAGGTCACTTAATTGTTTTTCTTTTTTCATTTGTGCCAGTAAATCCCCCTCAGAGGTACACCTTCTCAGATGTCAAATCAGACGCGCATTTCTTCATGCAAATCCTCTTACTGCTTTTCTTCTGTCTTGTCCGCACTCACGTGCCAGTGGACACTAAAAATAGTGCTCGCAGTCGACTCCTATACTCCCGCGCTCTCTCTCTCCCTCTCTCTCCCTCGTACTGCTTCCTGCAAGCAGTTGGTTAATACATTAGTTGGGGAAGGTGGG